GAAAGTGTTAACACCATTAGCGCCTTAATATGGCTCGCTTACTTCACTGCCTGACCTCGGCATACAGTGACCAATACTCGAGAAGTCGATATCTGATTGGTGAGCATGGGTGCTCACGCATAAATTTGACCTAACTACTAACATAAGCATGGAAGGACGGTTTTGGTTTCTCTTATATTTCCTGTTACCCTCTGTCCGACTGGATTATTTTGATGTCTTCTCTTCGAGATTCCAAAATTTGACAAACGAACCAAAAAAACTTTAAATTAACTTCCAGTCAATTTCTACGCGGTTGTTCTCAGTAGATAAATATATTTCAAGGAAAGACGTCCTTTGGGAAATCCCAAAGGACGCCTTTCCTTGAAATTACATTTCTTGGGATACCTGCCTTTCAGTTTATACGAAATAAATATGCGTTCACAGCTTTTTTGGAATTCTTTTGTGTTTACTATGTCCGTGTTTAGTTGCTGACCGTACGGTATTTGGAATACTGGCACTAAGTTAATGGTGTCAGAAGCTCTCCCGTTCATATGCAATGGTATCCGACGAAGGCCGCAGAATTCATGTCATGTCAAAGTAGCAAATATTTGGATAACTTGGGATTTCACAGATGTTTTCTGACGTTCGTATATCTTAATCTGAAGTGTGTGAATATTAGTTCTATTAGTTCGCAGTAACGGCACACCCTTTAGTAAGTTAGCCCGCAGAAAATGTTTATTCAATACTTATCTTTCTTAATGTCTGGTTGGCTTCGTTCATTCTTGGCCTTAAATTGCTCATACACATTCTTATAATAATAATGTGTCGACCAGATTCAATTTTGCAACATATGGCCACTTCAGAAGACTATATAGCGAGCATACGCATCTTTCGATAAATTGTTCTAAGTCCGTCACAATTATATAGGGAGGGGGGTGAAAGGTAACATGCGGGCTATTATGTTCATCATACAGGCAAATTTGTCATGGGAATAGGGGGAGGGGACTTGGAGTTCATAGAACTCGGTTGGTTTCGAGGTCATTAGGGTTTGTTGAATCAGGACAGGCGGGGGGGTTTAAGGGG